CAAAGTCGTGGGGGAGCCATATTCACTTAATGGCCTCATGACTCACTTAATAACGGCAGCAATTCGCTTAACAACGATGGCAAAAAAGATTGCAAAATTGGTCACGAGCCACTGAGTAACTTTCCTATTGATGGAAATTCAGGTCCCAATTGTGATTCGGGCCATAATTCATAACTCATAATTATATATTCTATGTTGCTTTTTTCTGGTTTTATTCTGCTGCTTTGAAGCTGCCTTTTATTTTTATATTGATTATTTATTTCCAACACGACTCCCTCGCTCCATGGAAACACAACCCCTTGTTGCTCAGCACTGTAATTAAATACACAAATAATTTTATACCAATTTCCTTTTATTTTACTACTGATGAAACGCTGGGATAATTGTGGAAATGCGACTTGGTTTTATCAATGGTGGGAAGTTTTTTGTTTTTTTTTGAAGCTCGTAGCTCAAAATTACCTTCACGACATAATTGGATGCGATCTTTTATTTTTTAAGAACTGTGTCACGAAAGGAGAGAGCGCTGTTCTTAATTGCTTGTAAAATTAATACATTATTGAAATCGCTAGGAAAGTGAGTCATGTATAAAGCTTCAAGAACCACTAATAATAACCACTAATAATGGCCCTTTGGATTTGGGGATATAATGCCTTGTAACACTAGCCTGCTAAGAAGACAAATACGCTGTCAAGAAATGAAAGAACAGGGGAACATCCTCTAGCTTCGTTTTTTGCAAAAATGAAGGTTTGCAAAATTAAAATACAGTTCTCGCATAAGCAGCTCATCTGAACTTAAGTCTCGCCGACAAAGGACTAAAATGTATTTTCACCTCAAAAATCTCAGCTGCGTTCCTTAAAATATGCAGTTTGGTTAGAAAGGGAAAGATTTTCTGTCTGGGAGGAATGAATAATGAAATTGTTCTCTGTTGGAACGTCAAAACTACTGCATTTTAAGGAGGTGATTACTTTTCTGCCGTACCATTTATTTTAAATTCCATTGAAGATCCCCAAAATGTATTGAGAACAAGTAATTGCTCTCTTTTGGAGATATTTATCAGGTTTTCGTGTTCCGTGAAAAGAAAGGGTGGTTTAAAAAAAATGGTGTGTGAAGAATGTAGTCTATATACAGTATGTAGTTAAGCCAAGTGTGTTAAGATGGAGAAATATAAACTTTTTGGGGGTCCACCTTTATCTATCATTTAAAGAAGCTTCTTTTGGGTTCAACTTTTCTTCAGAAGGTGGCTCAGTGGCTAAGATGCTGAGCTTGTCAATCAGAAAGTTTGGCAGTTCGGCAGTTCAAATCCCTAGCGCCGCGTAATGGAGTGAGCTCCCGTGACTTGTCCCAGCTTCTGCCAACCTAGCAGTTCGAAAGCACGTAAAAAATGCAAGTAGAANTCTATTAATATATTCAGCTTGTCCTATTTTTACAGTGAAATTAAAGAGCAACAGTATACAAGTGCAGTCGCGTTACTTTAAAAAAAAATAAAGATAAATTTTCTGACTGTTAGAGAGCAATCAACCCATGGAACAGAAGTTGCCTTCGGAAGTTGTGGGAGTTTCATCACTGGAGGCTTTCAAGAAGAGACTGGACTGCCATCTTTCAGAAATGGTGTAGAGGGTCTCCTGCTTGGGTGGGGGTGCGGGTTGGACTAGATGACCTACAAGGTCCCTTCCAACTCTTTTAATCTGTTAATCACCGAAATATCTTTCCCAGACTTCTTCTGGTATTTCAACTTTCAGAAACTATACACAGCTTTTCCCTTAATTATTGAGACTAGAGTCTTCCCTCTCCTGTCCACCCAATTAAGTCTTCCAAATTTTGTGCCATGGCTGGAAATACGCGTCGTCATATACCAAGCTGTGAACTTTGGATGTCCATCCCGGTTTTATTTTAGTCCCTTGACTCATAACGATGCCGCGCTGCTTCGAGCTGATTAAAAACGCCAAGAGCTAACTGGAGATCTAAGAATAAGCCTAGAATATTTCCACGCAGTTCCGATTGATTGCCGCAGCAGGAAGTGCCTGTCAATCCAAAAATGATCTTGGTGGACCAGGAATGAGGGAAGATAAGCCTTCACCCAAAGAGTTCGGCATCTCAAGAACCATGAATAGAACTTCCTTTTTGTAGAGTGGAGGTTCTGAGCAGAAAGATATCAGTCCTCACTCAGGACAAAAAAATAGCAATCAAAGAAATACAGGATCCATTTAGAAAAGTTCCTGTAGAAAAATCTATTTCTGGGCTTGTCACCCAAAGCCACGAAGCAAAAGTTCAGTTAGGAGGACAGGAGTAAATTTAATCTTCTAAAACAGGCAGCTAGGCAGTTGAAAGTCCCTGCCTTCCTCCTTCCTTTTGGCAAGAGTCTTATTTTGTGAAGGAGGGGGCAGCCATACTGGGCCCCATCCACTGAGGGGATTAATCTCAAATAAAGCTTGGTATTTAAAAGAATTGGAGGGGGGAGGAAGAGAAATAAATATTTTAATTTAAGAAAATAGATGAAGGTGAATGATTATTCCAGTATTTTTTATTTCTCCCATGTAGTCCTATTAGTTTATTGGGCTTTGGACAAAGAGGAAGAATTATATTTAAAAGGGGGTGACGGTCAAGAGAAGATTAGTGAACCGTAGCTACTAGTGGTAATTCTGGTATTTTGACAATTGTAGGGAATTGTTTTTCCTAATTTTCTCAAGTTTCTCTTTACCGTGAGAGAGAAAGATCTCTCTGCCCTTCTCCTCCCATAGACCGATTAGATCTCACAGGTTAGGTCTTCTCCGGATCCCATCTGCCAGCCAATGTCG